TCCTCGTTGACTCCCAGTGGGTTTTTAGGGACACTAAATCGCTCAGGAAGAGATTTCCCTTCTTTCTCCTGTGGAGCAGCTGGTGGATTCGAACTCCGTGCCTTTAGGTAGCAGCGCAACTCCTTATCACTAAGCCACCAGAGCTCAAGTCCTTGAGAGAGAATGAGTCAAATATTTAAAAGGAGAAGGAGATACGCTGTCAAGTAGCAAGTTTGTTGTTCCTTGAGCCCAACAAGAAATCAAAGCTGGGGCTGTGGGTCTAATTGATCCTAAATCTAAATGGCTCTATACAGGCAGAGAAGAACGGAGATCTAGGATGCCCAAAGCTGTAAATCTTTACAAAAGCAGGCTAGCACATTCTTCTGTGGCACTCCTAATATTCTAGCATCTTATTGTGGTCTGTGCGGTGGTGATTTGGTGGTAGGTAAGGTGATGCCTCTGACCAGAAGGCACACGGTTCAAATCTATCAGCTTCTCTGTAGGAGAAAGATGGGCACTCTCCTCCGTGCAATCTACTGCCTTGGAAAACTCACCAGGAGGTCAGCAATGAGTCTGCTCCGACTCAATTCTATGGCAATGAGTGAGTGAGTACTTCTCCAGAGCTCTTCTGCCCTTTCACTAATAGTGTAAGCAGTTCCTGACGTGGTCCCCTCAGACTAGTGGGCGCACTGGCTGAGCTGGGAAAGCTGCAAGAATGCTGGGGCCTGGGAGAGGGGGGTGTGGATACCAGGTTAGGGCTGCTAACTGACCCTTGTCAAGGGACACTCCACAGGAGGGCAGCTGTTAGGGCTGCTTCGGGGTCCAGCAGAGGTCAGGAAAGCCCACTGGCTTCGATCTCTCTTGCCGCTCCTTCTCTTGGGATTTTGTCCTCACTTTGGGATCTCACTCCCTGCACACATCCACTCCTTCACCCAAAACCTGAGGCTACCTCTGAGTGAGTAGGGAAAGGCTGGCCACTTCTGGGCTGGCACAGACTCAAGCCCAGCCAACTCTGGCTTCTGTGGTGAAAGCTGGTTTGTCTGGGCCGCTCCCCAGGCCCTCCTTGGATCTGGGCCTAAAGGGACGCCTTGCCAAGACATATCATGGCCACCAGCAGCCAGATGGCTTCTGAGCAGGCACGAACCTGTCAGGCTTGTCAATAGTGGCCCTGCTGGTCCTCAGGGTCAGGCCAGGACAGGAGCCTGTACCCAGTAATGGCCAGCTCTCACTCTGTCCCTTTGCTGAGGGAGTCAGGGGAATCCTATTTCTTGGTCTCACCTGAAAGCCAAAAGCTTGGGTTGGCAGAATTTCTCCAAGCCTGCTTCCTTGAGGGAGCAACTCAGGAGTGGAAAGGGTATGTGTGTGCACACATGTGTATGAACAAACACCTATGTGTGTATAAGTGTGTAGCAGGGGTTGCCATGGCAGGAAAAAAGCTCCGGCCAGTCCTCTTCTTCCTTCAACACAGTGTCAACATGAAGGAGCTGTGTTGCCAGAGGGCCCTTGCTTTATTCAGGTGGGATTTTCCCAGGAGAAGAGTCTGAGATGGAAATCTGTGTAGACTTGAAAGTTTTCCTTATGGAGAAAAGGAAAAAGAGAAGTAGGACCAGATAGAGGAAGGAGCTGGACAAGAATAGAATGTGGTCTTAGCCAGAGTCCAGCCTGATCCCACAGGAAACTCAGGAGTGTGAGTTATACTGCTGTTAAGTCTTCTTTGTAACAAGGACATATATGGTTTTAATATCCCTATGCCAGGAAGTCAATGGATGCAAGGTGTCAGAGCCAGGTGGAACACATAACTTCAATGAGATTCTTTCTCAAACTGCCAAGCTGCATTTTATAGGGTCCTCTCCCCTACTCTACCCCATGGAAAGACTTTCCAACCTGGTATTTCTTTATACGAGCTTTGTTGTTTTACAATCTGCACTTGAGTCCAATTTCTGAAATTCTCATGGGTCTATTTCTCCTGTCTGTTGATTCTGCTGATTCTTATTCATGGTGTTTTGATCCTTGTTGATTTGGTGATTTTTTTTATCAGATGGTGCTCATGGTCTTTGAATATTATTGGTGTCACAATTAATTGACCGTTCATGAAATAGAAGAGTCTTGCTTGATTTTATACAGCACCCCCCCCAAGAGTTGTGTAACACTATGATCCTACTTGTAGAAATATTTTAGATACTGTAGATATGCTCGCTTAACACACATTTCAACTTTCCTTTGGTCAGAAAGCTAAAAGCTAAATACTCAGATTTCTTTATATCTAGAATTTCTTACGTAATTTTAAAATCAATTGTAATAGAGCTCACTGCAACTCACAGTGCCCTGTGTGTGTCACAGTAGACCTGTGATCCACAGTTTTCAATGGTTGTTTCTAAAGTAGATAGGTAGGCCTTTCTTCCATGGCACCTCTGGATTGACTCAATTCTTCAACCTTTTCATAACAGCTGAGCTCATTTAAACCATCGACACTCCTCAGGACCCTAAGGATCTACCAAAGAGACACACTGACCAAACACGTAAAGGGCAAAAAAAAAAGAGGTGGCAGTCATGTAGGGTAATCGGGTAAGCATGGTGGTTGGCGGAGATTTACAACTGCTCAAGTTCAATATGAAAGTCTGTAGTGTCTCATTCCTAGCATCTTAGCTGCTGAACAGCAAGCAATGCTGAGTGGTAATTCCTCCAGAACAGTCTGATTACACGGTTGGAAACTTATCTCATTATTGTGGTAGCATAGTCCTTAGCGAGTTGTGTTCCTAACCCAGACTGGTGCCTCTCTGAAGGTTCAAATCCATCAGCGGTCCTGCAGAAAAAAGATGGGTAATGTTCTCTAGTGCCATTTACAGCCTCCAAAAACCTACTGAATCCATCCCAACTCAAGGGCAGTGAGTTTGAGCTGTGATGCTCCTGGCTCTGTTCTTTCAGGCCACATAACTGTCAAGCTTAATTTCCAGTCCCTGTGTAATCTCAGAAAACCCTTTAATCAATCAATCAAATCCCTTTCCCTTTCAGCGAGCGTAGACACTGTCTATAACCCAGTAAAATGAAAATGGAGTTTAAAAACCATAGACTAAACCCAGCAGTGTCATCGAATCATGGAAAGAAATTCGAGCAAAAAGCATGCAAAGCTAAGCTATAGTGGTGATGGTGATGATTGCCATCGAGTTGAGCACGAGTCACAGCAACCCTGTAAAAAGGCCTGAAGCTTCTGAAGAAATATCACTATTTATCAAAGTTCAGAGAGTTTTCACGTGTTTCGAATCCAGTAGATGCTCTGCTGGAGAAGGAGGGGCAATCTCCTCCTCAACCAGTCGGATCTGATTTGATGGTACACACACAAAGTAATAAAATAAAAAAAAAGTTAAAAAACAAAACAAAACACCAAGAAACCACACCCAAAAGTTGAGAGAGTTTCCAGAGGCATGTTGTTTAGGAAGTGGATGCCACTCCTGCTTCCAACTACGGTGTCAGGAATCAGGATAACAGTTTTTTCTGGGGAGGTCACGCGGTATTACTAGATGAGAAAGCTTGAGAGTCACTGGGGTCAGGAAGTACTTTCATTTGTTTTTAATCAAACAAAAGATTTTATAAATGCCTGAGCATGTCAGTAAATCTTTGTAAATCTGTCCAGCTGTGCACTGATCTGGACTTTACACTGTTGTTGCACAACCCTCTCATAGCTGACCCTCCAGTAGCTTTTCAGAGACAGTAAATCACATGGGAGGAGACTGCTCATCTCTCTCCCACGGAGCAGCTGTTGGATTCGAACCACATGCATTTGGGTTGGCAGTGCAATTCCTTTCCACTAAGCCACTACAGAAAATGTGATGGTGCTGTTCCTCATGGTGGTTAACTGAGATTAGAGATGTCAGAGAGGTAGAGACAGAGGCAGCTTAAGGAACAGAAGGTGCAATAGCCATGCACAAGCAAAGCTTGCCTAACACGAGACTACACGGATGGCTTCATGTTAGATTTTGTCTGTGTTTGCCCTGTTCTTGCCATTTTGTGTTCTCTTCTGAATTGCAGAGGGCCAGAACCCTGGAAATAACATCTATGAGATTTCCATACTGTCTGGGTGAGTTGGCTTTTACCAGTGGACATCAGAGGCTGGCCACTAGGAAGTGTGGAGGAACTATTCTTCTGGCTCCAGTCCTTACAGGTGGCCACAGGTGGCCATGGGCCCCAGCACCACCATCAGCAAATGCAGGCTTGTCAAATCTTTGATCAGCCTCATTTGAATAAAACTCTTCTTTTTCTACTCCAGCTCTTCCACTCTCTTTATTTCCAGTATCAGACGTTAAATATTCCTTTTCTTGAAAATACTTGTTTTCCTCACAAGACACAGACTGATCACCAAAAGGAAAGAATTCCTAGCATTTATCAACATTCTCTGAGGATGGCCCATAAAGCAAATTCTAATACCCTCAGCTACTCTCTCTTTGGCTCCCTCTTGAGCTGTCCCCTGAGCCACTTCCATCTGAGCTAAAGTCTTCCTCTCTATCGCATCCTTGAACATGAATCCCCGTGGAGTTCAAGACTATTTCTCATGAATGCAAACAGCTGTGTGGGCTCGCACTCCACCTGTCCTATCCCACAGTGTTCTCTCTTGATGGGGAGCTGCAGGTTGAACGCGGGCACACTGCTTACTCTGAACTCCCTAGTGCTTGGCAGAGACTTACCATTATGCAGCCTAGAGTCGGAGCCCACAGGCAGAGATGGGTTGCTCTGACAAGCTCTTGGTTCAAGGAGCCCAGGTGGGATTCCCTTTCCACATCACATGCCTAGAAGTCAGATGCTGAGTATGCAAGTCTGGGCAGGGTAGGAGGTGAGGGGTGGCTGGACACACACCCCAGGGGAGGAGCTGGGACACAGAGACCACAGGCAGACGGGCTGAAGTGCCAGGTAGCTTTAATAAGCCCAAGCACCTCTCCTCCCACAGTGCCCCTCCCTCCCCACTCCTTCAGTTCTAGACAGGTCCAGCCTGCCCCAGGGGTTCAGTGATTCTCAGATGGAGAATTCCTCTAATTCTTCTGTTTCCTCAGCCGCTCCAGGCGCCTCTGAAGGTCGGGGGGCACCTTGGCCCCTGCTGCCAGCAGCTCTCGCAGTCTCTGTTTGGGTGTCTTGGTGAGATGGAAATTGCAGGGGAAGGGGCCCTCTTCAAAGGTGACCCGACAGTTCCGTGTGACTGAGTGGTAGCCTTCAGCACTGGCGGTCACCGTGTAGTCTCCAGGAGTCAGCAGTCTCCAGTAATCCCCATCCCATGCTGACAAGTGAAGAAACAGGCCCCAGTGAGCCTCACCTCCTGTCTGCTGCCACCTGAAAGCCCCCTAGTCCCCCACTTTCCCACCTCCACCTACACACACACACACACCTGTGGTGACGTCATGGTTAATCCCCTCCACGGAAATGACAGCATCCGCAATCCCCTGCTCCGTGTCCTTGTCCCGCACGACACCTACAATGGCCATGCGCACCTACAAGGGAAGAAGTTATCAAAACACGTTTGCTTCCGAGATGGCACCTTCAGTTCAGTTCACTCTCTGGGTTTGTTTCCCTGCAAACCTGGTAAGAGGTGGTATGTCTACTATGCCCATCTACTGTGTTCTGAGAAAAATATTTTCTGATTGATAAAACTCCATCTGGAGAACTATTAATCCTTAGTACCTTATAAATAGCACTGGTGGCCTAGTGACAAGAAGCTATGCTACAATCCCAAAGGCACATGGTTCAAATCCATCAGCTGCTCCGTGGGAAAAGGATGGGCAATCTCCTGTGTGATTAACTGCCTCTGAAAACTGGCTGGAGGGTCAGCTATGAGTCGGTTCTGACTCAATGGTATTGCCTACAAGTAGATTCTGACTCACAGCTGGGGGTCTAACTGTCCCCTAAGGTTTCCAAGCCTATGGAGCAGGCTGCCACAACTGTCTCCCATGGAGCCACTGGCCGGTTTGTTTGAACCAATTTTAGTAGTTATCAGTTGAGTGGCATATCTTTAGTCTTCTCCAGGTTCAGTGACTCTTGTTACTGGGCTTGTCTTTGGTAGAAACCTGGAAAGCCATACCAGTGGAATCACGCCCAGAGATAAAAGCTTCTGTGAAGTAGGGTTTGGGTGTGGCGTCCCTGTGCTTGCCCAGTGTGGGCCCTAGATGGTGCCAGAGGGCCCGGCAGAGAAGGCCGTCAGCTCTATGCAGAGAAGCATATCTGACGTCCTGCTGGCAGAATGTCTCCTCTTCTCTATCCTAAGTCAATCTGAAGCCAACCATGGTCTGTGGCATCTTGTGAGTCTACGTGCCTGGTCCTTTCAACTTCCTGGTGGGAGATGCCACCCAAGTGGTGAGCAGACAGGTGGGTGGGAGGGACTGTGGGAGGCTGGGAACCAGGAGAGTTAGAGCGAACCTGTTCCAGGTAGGTGAGCAGGGCATCTTTGTTGTTCTCCCATTCCTGGGGCAGCTCACTCTCATGCGGGAACTTGTCACAGGACAGTTCTATGGTGACCTCGAAGCAGTTGGTGTGTAGGTAGCTGAAGTCATTCATGCCTACGGAAACCACAGACACTGGAGCTTCAACCTCCCCTGCCCTCTTTGAGGAGATCCGTCAGGGTAGGAGATGACACCAGACTATCTTATTGGGGACAGGACAACAGGGAGAGGGTTATTCCCAACCCTGACACATACTCCCAGGGACAGTGTGCCAGTCAGCTCCGTTGATGATGTTGCCGCCCAAGGCGAAGTCTTGGTTGTGGCAAGCACGCCGTTCCGGGTTCTGCATGACCCGGTTAGTGTCAGCGTAGACGGTGCTGAGCCAACGAAACACGGCGTCGTCAGGAGTGGGCGTGAGTTCCCGGGCGGCCCACGGGGTCCGGGTCATGTCGTACGGGTAGGACACCACGAGCTCACCCCCATGCAGATTGGCGCTCAGAACAAAGGGGATCCGCTTCATCCACTCAATCACGGCCCGGGTCTCAGGGGCCACCTGGACAGAGACAGGTCAGGACACAGGTGCCCGGCCCCTCCAGGTGGCCGTCCAACACTGCCCGCAAATACTCACAGTGGCGTTGGGCAGGGTGTAGTAAGCCGGCAGCGGGAGGTGATGGTTGGCAACCGTGTGGGGAACCAGTCCATCATCCTCCGCTGTCCACAGCGGTGTGTTGAGGTCAGCAAAGTTGTGGTTGAGGTCAATGCCCTGGTAGTTCCAGCGGCCGTCTACCCAGCCCGCCAGCTCCGAGCCCTGCCAAGGAAGGCACCTGTTCAAGCTGGTTTGCTCTGGGTACCAGAGTGGAAGGCACAGGGTGGTGCCCATGCAGGTGACCTACCCGTTGGTAGGCGAGCTCATAGCCATCGGGGTTCATGGAGGGCAGCAGGTGAAGACGCATCTCTGTGAGCAGCCGGGTGACCCGTGGGTTCCCTCGCAGGTACTCACGACACAAGAACTGCATCAGCAGCAGCAGCAACTCCCGTCCCAGGACCTCGTTCCCGTGCATGCCGGCCACATAGCGAACCTCCGGCTCCACTAGAACACACGGAGCTTGTGGCCAGCTCACGCCCCGAGCCCTCCCTCTGCCCACCTCTCTCCCCACCCGCCTGTCAGTACTCAGCTCGTGCTCCCCGGGGTTGTCTGACATTTCCATCACATACAGCTTCAAGCCCTGGTGGCTCTTCCCGATGTTGTAGACGCGGGTGATGTTGGGACACTGCTCATTCACTTCTTTCATCAGCTAAGCACCAGGATGCACAGAGTGTGACATGTACATAGAGGATTAGACTCAGGGCTCAGAACACAGAGGGCTTCAGAAAAGTCAGGCAGACCACACTAGCAGGAGCAAAGTGGAGGTGCCATAACAAGGGAAACTACAGCAGAGCTTAGGGGTCAACAGGACAAAGGGTGAGATGGTGGGAGGTGCCAGTCCCTACTCTGGGCCACAGGGGTTGGGGCTGACCTTCCTCATATCCTTATAATTGTGATGCCGAAAATCCAGAGGATCAGAGGATGCCAGCGCCAGGGCCTTGGGGAGCAGGCCGTTAGGATCTGGTAGAAGGTGTGTCCATGGTTAAGGGTCACAGTGGATGGTGCAACATGGGTCCACACCCTGACCATTCAGTCCCAGCTTCCTGCTCACCTGAGACTGGACAAGCCAGGATCTCGGCCCGGAGGCAGGGCGCACCTCCAGGGAGCCAGGTCTGGGGCAGCAGGCGAATGTAGCGGGCGACCTGGTGCTCAGGAAGGAGGTTCAGCACTGGGGTCTCTTGATCGGAATTGGCTGGAAATATCTGGAACATCAAGTCCTTTGTTGGAGTTACTTGAACCCCTAGAGTCTGGCCTAGAAACCAGGGCAAAGGTTCAGGCCTTCAAGCTCACCCTGGCGCTGAGAACTCACAATCTGCGTCAAAAGGAAAGCCTCTGAAAACGGACAGTCCCAGGCAGCCATGGACTTGGCTGCAGCTGACTAGGCCAATGTATTCATGTGGCTCCAGAGCAGCCAATCCTAAAGCTGCCCACGACCCTATACCACAGCCTGGTCTAAGAAAGGTCCATGAGAAGAGGAAGCCAGAGCCATGAAAAGGCCTAGAAGTGATACAGGGACTAAAGGCCTATTGCTAGGAGGGCTGTTCTAGCAGAACCGAGCTGCACTTGCCTGGAAGTGGAGTTGTCTGGGCAAGCTGGGTACCCCTCATCCTGACAGCAGCCCTTTTTCTATCAGCACACACAAGTAGGTACCTGCTCCTTGTTCTCAGAGGAATCCCGGGACAGGCCAGCCCTCCATAGTGGACAGGGTGCTGACCCAATTCCTGCCCCAGAGAGTCCTAGCTTCTGTGGGCCCACTCACCACATCCATCCCACTGCTGTTCTTGCTCCCCCACCAGCTCCGACTGTCGTTGCTGAACTGAACCTTGTACGATGTGACCCAGTCAAACCTGGCAGAGAGATGGGCAGAGACTGTTAGCGCCCTCCAGGGTGTCTACTCAGTCTACTCGTGCCCTAACCTCCTAGCCTGAGCGAGCCTGCCTCACCTCCAGATCGAGTTCCGGCCTTGTGTGATAACCCCCGAGAAGCGAGTGGGGTGTCCCGCATCCACCTGAAACCAGGGCTCAACATCCTGCTGCTCCGCACACCAGGCGCCATCATAGTGATCACCATCCTCCAGGCCAGACTGAGGACACAGGGAGGGGGGCTTCAGGCCCTTGAGGGCGGGACAGGGAGGGGAGGGAGCAAGGCAGCGAGCCCAGGGGTCACACTGTCTGCCCTCGAATCAACGTGGCTGACCTGAATGTTCAGTCGTCCACGGTGCGGTCCAAGGCCAAAGGACTGGCTGCTGGATGCCTCAAACTGGCTATCTGAGACACGCAGGGACTCCAGGCCTAGAGGGGGACAGTCTGGAACAGAAAGAGAAGAGAGAGAGAGAGAGAGAGATGGGTCAGGGCAGCAGGAAGCTGAGCCCAAGCTTGCCCAGGTGCAGGTGAGGCTGCAGGCATGCCTATGCCCGCGAGGCACTATGTGTGCCAGGGCTATACATCCTGGCCAGAACCGTGGAGAGGTGGTACCTGGTTTTTGCTCCTTAGGGGGCACAGGGGTCTCTGCAAGCTTAGTAGTTACTGGGCGTCTGGTACGAATTATCTTCTTTTGCTTCTTTACAATGACCTTTTTCTTCTTGACAATACGTATTTTTGTGGTCCCTGGGGATGAGGGAGAGATCACATGGGAAGGAAACTGTTGAGACCTCAGATGAAGAGCTCTGCTGGCCCAAGAAGGCACGAGAGCCCACTGCCAGCCTCACCCCAGGCGTCTTAGGTACTCCTGACACGTGTGGCCAGCTTCACACTGACCTCCTCCACCAGAGAGCGTGTCCGCTCACTAGGAACTGGTCTTGTTGCTCCATAAGCTGAGTCTGATTCTTACCTTGAGGTCTTTATACTGTGTTCCCTCCCCCATAACATCAGCCTTTGACTTTGCTGCCTAACTCCACATCTCAGCCCAGATGAGCTCTGAGAAAACTCATCCCACTCCAGACTGGGTCTCCTCCTGTCTCACAGCCCTGGTGCCACCTCCATCACTGTGTCTGGCATCTAAACTGAGACACTCTGTCCTCAGATCCAAGAATATCTAGACACTAAGTCTTTCCAAAGCTGAGCACTGGGCTCGGCCACCAGCGCCACGGAGGCCTCTGGAACACAACGAGTGGCATATTCTGCCTGGTCGCCCTGAGCCTTTACACACACTGATTCCCACTCTAGCTTTCTGTTCAGTCTTCTGACTCAGAAACTCAGTTCTACTTCCTCTAAGAAGCGCTCCTTGACTACCACCCTCACAGCTTCCCCAGGAGGTTTGCAGGGGCAGTTAATCACGGAGGAGGAGACTGCCCATCTTTCTCCCACAGAGCAGCTAGTGGATTCGAACCACTTACCTTGGCAGTGGTAGTGCAATTCCTTACCACTAAGCCATCAGGGCACCCTCCCTTTCCCTCTCGCCCTAGCTTTCCCACCAATTCCTACACAGCTTTGCTCTGCACCTTTTCGTCCAGGCACTCCAGTCTGTACCTCTTTCTTGTCTTCCTTTTGGGCCTCAGTTTCTGTATCTGTACAAAGTAAAGATTTGGGGCTGAAAGAAGTTTCCAATAACGGCAAAGAGTTAACGCCCTCGGCTACATAACAGAAGGGCTGAAGTTCTAGTCCGTCCAGAAGCATCTCAAAAGAACGGTCTACGTCATTTGGAAAAAATTAGCCCCTGAGAACCCAAAGGAGTAAAGTTCTAGCCTGACCCGAACCGGGTCGGCATGAGGAGGTAGCGGTTGGGCTGTGACTGGTCCTGGTCGGAGCAGAAGGAGTCCATCCCAGGAATGCTGACTCGGACGCGAAAGGGGCTGCTGAGTCAGCAGTCACTGGGAGGAGGCATGGGTGAGAAAGAGAAAGGTGTGTGTGTGTGTGTGTGTGTGTGTGTGTGTGTGTGTGTGCGCGCGCGCGTGCGTGTGTGTAAGGCATAAGGCACTGTCACACCAGTGGGTGCCTGGGGTTAACCAACTTGCCCGACGACCGATCCCTGGTCGGGAGCTCACCGTTCTCTTTCCCCGCAGGTCCTGGGCTGCTGCTTCGCTGGGCCGGGGTCGTGAACGAGGCCTTGGTGGTCCCGGGCGGCGCGAGACCCAGGACTGGGGTGCCGGAAGCCACCAGGCCCGGGGCGCAGGCGGGCGCGCACGCGGCCAGGGCGAGCAGGAGACCCCACATAGCGCGTGCGGAACGGTGGTCTGCACGGCCCCGCCGAGCGTCCGCCGGCTTGTCTCTTCCTGCTCGGGGCTCGGGGGCCCCCCGCCCCTTCCTGCCCACCCAGCCTCACGCCCCCTGCGCCTCTGGCCCGCCCACTGCCCGCTCCAGGCCAAGGAGGGGAGGGGAGGGCGCGGGGCGGGGGAGGGAGAGGGCTGGACCCCCTAGAACAGGGATGGTCGGTGGGCACGGCCTCGACCCCTGGGGGTCCTGCACCCACAGCTTGGCACCGCCCCCTCCGGACATGCTGACTCAGCAGACAAAGAAAACTGCTGGGCCCACTTGATTTCAGTTAACCTTGAGTTCTCAAAGTCGGCAGCACTGTGCACCATGCTCAATGCCAGCTTTGTACAACAAACCCGTAAACTGAGGCCCAGATGAGTTGGCTGCCTCGACCAAAGTTGCAAAACTGGTAACTTTAGGCGGTAAACTACAACCCTGGAAGGAAATCCATCCAATGAGTGTGATAAATGGTAGAGTGGGGGGTAACCTGGGCTAGGGCATGGACGCCTTATGCGCGGGGCTCTCCAGGAATGCGCCTCCCCACCCCCACCACGGCCCCTCCTCCTCCCCTCCGCCCCCCTCCCCTTCCCTTTTGCTCTCGAGCCTGCCACGTTCTGAGCTTACATAACCTGAGGATCCGGGAGCGGTACCCGGGTGGCCGGGCCCGGAGCGCGGGCCTGATACGCGCCCACCCTCTCCCTCCTTCCCTGAGTCCTCCTCGGGCCCCTCTCGGAGCCAGCAGCCCCAGGGCCCCGACTTCCAGAGCGCAGGACCCCTCACGAGCTTTGCGCGCTCCGGTCTCCTCCAGGGCGCCTGAGCAGTTCCTGGAGATGCTGCTACCAGCGCGTGCGAGACCCGAGACCCGAGGTAGCCAGGAAGTCTCAGGAGTGCGCAGGACTCGGGCATGGTTTTTGTTTACTTTTGGGGGTTTTTGTAGTTGTTGTTTTCGGGGCCTCTTTATCTAAACGATTTGAATCACAAAATCAGCGCACCAGCGTCGTTCTTGGCGGCTGGGGTTCCCCCAGTCCGGCAAAAGTAATCCTTCACCACATGATTAGGACAAGTTCTCCTCCAGCTGGGGCTACGCAAGGGCGTAAATTCAGAGTTCCTGGAGGCATCTGGTCCACCCACATGCCTTGTATAAAGAGCCAGAGAGCGCCCCAAAGGAATGATGGTGGTCAGGCCCACGTGGGTCCCGTTCCCTTATAAGAGTGTCTCTTAGCTGGCACAACCAGATCCCTGGCTCCGGAAATGGAATTTGACCATTTCAGGGAGGGTGCTTCATGAAGTCCTGGGGCACCCCGCGTGAGAGGCCGGGACTAGCCGCAGTGGAAGGGGGTCAGAAGAGGTTCTGAGTGGTACTGCTTCTCGCTAAAGCCTAATTTGGCCACTTCCTCTGCCCTGACCCTCACTCAGATGGAAGTTTCACCGAGGGGCACAAAGGGTTTGAAGGGAGGCACAGAACAGCCCAGACTCCCAGCTCCAATCTGTTCTCCATCAGCAGCTCTGGAGTTGTGTCAAGTACTTCCTGGTTTGTCCTTGATGGTCAGGCCCCTCCACTCACCTTTATCACCTCTTCCCCCTCCACTCTCCTGAGTCATGCCCTCCAGCCTCACTTGCAGTCTAGCTGTTCCTCCAAAGTACTGACCTCATCTAGCCCCAGTGCCTTTGCACTGGTTGTGAACTATCTTTCAATTCCTTCCCATGGCTCTGGCCTCCAAAGGCCCTTCCTGAGCACTCTGATTCAAGTGAACTCTTGTACCCTGCACACACTCTGTGCTCTCACCCTGTTTTATGTTCAAGGCGCTCAATGCAGTCTGAGCTAATGTCTCTTCTTTGTTATGTGTCTGTTGCGGGGTTCTCCACTTGGGAAGATGTAACTGCCCCTCCCGGGAGCTTCATGCATCCAGCTATATAGAAATGTGCCTCCACCACAAGAACCGTATCTGGTCCATAGTCAGTGCACCAGGGGCCGTAATGGGCGATGCTTTGGGCTACTGACTTGAAAAGTTGGCAATTCAAATCCACTAGCTGCTCCTCAGGGAGAAGGGGAATGCAGTCACCTCCTAGAAAGATTTACAGCCTGGGGAACCCAATTGCCATGAGTGGGTCAGAACTGACAGCAGAGGGTTAGTGTATTCAAAGTGTAAGGGGATTGGGTATAGCAGAGGACAGCTGTCTCCTCCCCCAGTAGTGCCTAGTTTTGAAGAATAACTGAATATTAGGCACACTGAACCCTTTTGAATGTCATGTGTCCCCTATGTCCCTTCAGCTCCTTCCACCCCTCACACCCTGTCCTCTCTGACGTATTACGGTCCTCTGCACTCTTCTATGCTCCTCAACACCTTCTCGTGCCCCACTGTTAACTCATTCCCTCAAGCCCCTCAGGGCTTCCCTGTCCTAGTTAAGGGTGTTGCCTCTGGGCACCTGGCATGGCACAGAGCCTACAATTGGATTCTGGAGATGGGAGGTGCAGGGGCGCAGCAGATGCAGGTGTGTGCTCAGGTGCCAGTATCCAGGTGAGTGACCTGTCATGTCCTCACAGAGTGGGGGTAGTGAGAGAATGCATCACCAAGCAGGACTGAACTGGTAAGGATTGCTGTTGTTCTGTAATGTCCAGTCATCTAATAGCTAATGATCTTGAACATTTCATGTGTTCATTGGTCATCCATATGTCGTTTTTTATGAAGTGTCTATTCATGTCCTCTGCATATTTAGTGATTGAGTTGTTTGTCTTTTTCATATTGAGGTACTAGACCAAAGTCTATTAGTCTATCAGGGACTGGAGGAAGAAACAGAAGTACTCCTTTTGGGAGCAGGGAGTTTTTGTTATATTGTTTTTATGTGCTATCCAGTTGGAACCAACTGACCTTCCAACAGGTTTTTACACAGAAGGAGACTGTGCATCTTTCGCCCAAGCAGCAGCTAGTGGATTCGAACCACATGCTATTGGGTTGGCAGTGTAACTTCTTACCAGTAGGGAAGCATACCCAAAAGGATTAACAGGTAAGGAATGGGCTAGAAACCTCCTGTCAGCTCCTTTACATCCAACTGGTGTGTTAAATTGCTAGGGTGGGAGGAGCCGTTGTTATCGAGTACAGCCAAGTCAGAACCAAACCATAGCCGATCCTCCAATGGGTTTTCAGAGGTGGGGGCAGAGGTTAGAAAGGATGGATGACTCTGGTGCTACACAAGCTCAATTTCACATCCTGCTTCTGCTATTTATTTTACTTGAAAATCCCTGACAGTAATTCAACCTTTCTGATCCTCAGTTTTACCATTTATAGAATGGAAACGTACTATTTCCATTACAGGCTGTAGTGGTGATGAAGTGAGATAATAAAATACGTGGTCCTAGTGAATCCCTAAAGATGACTTTGTTTTCAGTGGGGAAAGTAATTTAATCTTAGGAGCCATTGATTCATTAGGACTCATGAAAACAGAACTAAATCTTGCCTTACACCTTTCTTATAATTTCTGATACACTTGAGCCCACTGTTATAGTTAGTGTCAGTCCATCTTGTTGAAGGTCTTCCTCGCTTTCTCTGACTTTCCATCTTTCCAAGAATGATGTCAAAGGACTGGTGCCTCCTGACAATATCCCCCAATATGTGAGAGGAAGCTTCATCTCCTTGTTTCTAAGGAGCACCTTGGTTGCATTTCCTCTGAGGCAGACTTGTTTGTTCTTTGGCAGTCCATGGGACAATGGAATTCAAAGGAAAAGAAAGAGGGTTATATGTTTGACTGCAAAAATAAAGGAGTGGACTCGGTGCTTGTTTCTGCTTCCTGAATTCCCTGGTATGAGGTGTCCTTCCCTAGATGCTGTTCCTCCTTTAGGTTGAGGCAGGGGGACGTTAGTAGAAAAACCCTATTGAGACACATAGAGTGGCATCTGCACAAATGCCCAGCCTCTTCTTCCCACCACCTTTCCCAGATGTTTCTGTTTTGTTCTTCAGTGTCTGGAGAGTCTTGCTTTTTAAAGTGTGGGCTTGGGCATTCCCTGAGAGCTTTGATAGAAATGCAGAAGTTTCCCCAGAAGATTTTACTCCCAGGGATTCATGTGCACATTCAAGCCTGCCGAGCCAGTGTAGAGTGCCTTCATCTACTGGAATTTTCTGAATCTATTTGATGCTTTCACTTTAAACTTTGTCTCAAGCCACAAGAGTGCATCCATGGAACATTAAAAATTTGGTTTACATTCATCCTAAAGGAGTCCTGATCTCCGTAAACATACCAGCTTGCTTTTTAAAAACACCCCAAAATAATTGTTTCATTAATAAACTACAGTAAATAATTTGATTTTTTAAAAACACCACAAATGCTTTCATTATTTCATTGTTACATATTTTCTTCCCCACACCCTTCTTTTTCCCCAGCCCTTCCTATAATGCACCCCTTGTTCCAGATTGTTGTCATATATATAATGCCTAATCATATATTCCTTTCAGACAGTTCTTCCTCTCATCTGATCTAATGCAGTGTTCATTATCTATCCACTTTTTCCACTTTCTCTCCCCAACACCCCCTCTATGTATGTCCTATTTTATAACAGTTGTGTTATGCAGTATTTGTCCTTTTATGACTGAGATATTTCACTCAGCATAATGTCATCCAGGATCCCCATGTTATATAATGTTTTATGAGTTCATTTTTTTCAGTGCTGTATAATATTCCATTGTATGAATGTACCATAGTTTTTCTGCCCATTCATTTGTTGATGGGCATTTGGGTGGCTGCCATCTGTTTACTACTATGAATAATGTGGCAATAAACATGGGTATGCATACAACTGTTTGAATCTGGTTCTGGTTTCTTTAGGATATATTCCCAATAGTAGAATTGTTGGGTCAAATGGCATTTCTATTTCCAACTTTTACAGAAAGCACCAAACCACCTTCCACAGGTGGTGGTACCATTTTACGTTGTCACCAGCAGTGAATGAGAGTTCCAGTCTTTCCACA